TATTGCTTTATTCTGATTGTTGTGCTAGGAATAAAATTTAAGGCCTAGGAGAGAAGTTCCTGTATGCACTTAAGAGTGAAATGTCTCCATGCTGTGGAGAATGTCACATCTAACATGAACTCCGATCCAATCAGGTACAGAGAATTTGGATACAAAATAATGTATAAGAAAAGATCTAAAGCTGGGTGGTGGTAGTGCATGCCTTTAATCTCAGCACTTGGGAGGCAGAGGCAGGCAGATCTCTGTGAATTCGAGGCCAGCCTGGTCTACAGAGTGAGTTTCAGGATAGGATCCAAAGCTACAGAGAAACCCTGTCTCAAAAAAACAATAAAACAAAAAAAAGAAGAAGAAAGAAAGAAAGAAAGTATTGATGTTTTAAATTTTTTATTATATTTTATGGATGAAACATGGGAATGTAAGAATGTCTTCATTTGTGCTTACATTTGCCCCATTAATGTTTCTCATATGGACAGGCCTTGAATTAGCAATTCTCCTACGTCAGTCTCCAGGGTATCTAGATTACAGGCACACACTATCTCACCCAGCTGAGGTGAGGGAAGGTTTTGATTTCAAAACATACCATGTTTCTGACACAAGACCTGAAGCTTAAACAAGTTTCATATTTGCTAGTGCTGAGACTAGATGCATCTGAGTCTACCCGTCCGCCCCCGCCTCCCCTCCCTCCTGAAACTCTTTGATCATCTGTTCTATTTTCCTTCTCTCTGAAGATGGGTTTTCTCAAGCATTCATTGGGTAGCAAGTGGCACAGGGCTCCCAAGGAGTCCACAGTCTCAAAGTCCCCAAGGCGTCGTCCTTTTGTGATAACAATCCATCCATCAATACCGTCCCCCAGAAAGAAGTCTTTGCCTACTGCCTAGCATCACATGGTTGTCTTGATCTGACCAGCTTCAGTGGCACGGAACAGATGGCGTGGGAAAGAAGTTAGTGTATCTGCTTATTGCCTGGAGTTGTGTTGCTCTAGGCTGGGTTCAGGCTAGACATTCCTGTTTCTGGCCCAAGAAGCTACAGTGGCCTTTCAAATCACCCCAGGTGATGTATTGGGTTGAATGGCTCTGCTCTCTGTGTACTCATCATCCCTGGGTCAGTAGGAAGGTCTTCTCTTGTACATATTTTCCTGGTGATGGCAAAGGGGCAAATAGAACTGGGTGTGGTGGCATACACTTGTAACCTTAAAACTTAAGACCCTAAAGCAGAAAGATCACTAGTTGAAAGCCATCCTGAAATACTGTACTAGTCAATTTTCTGTTGCTCTGATAAAATAGCATGACCAAGGCATCTTAAGGAAGGACTTAATTTGGCTTAAAGCTCCAGAAAGATAGCAATCCATCATGGCGGGGATGCAGAGGAGCAAGAGGCAGACATGATGGCAGGAGTGGAAAGCTGAGAGCTCACATCTTGAATCACAAGCCCAAAGCCGACAAAGTAAGCTGGAAGCTGTAAAAGGCTTTTAATCTCAAATCCTGCCCACAATGATATACTTCCTCCAGCAAGGCTGTATCTCCCAAACCTTCCTGAACAGTGACATCAATATGGTATCATATGTTCAAATATCTGAATCTATGGGGGACATTCTCATTCAAATCACTACATTCCACTCCCTGGCCCCATAGGCCTAATGGCCGTGTTGTAATGCAAAATGCATTTAGTCCAACTTCAAAAGTCTCCATAATCTTTCACAGTCTCAACACTATTTAAAAGTTTAAAGTATCTTCTGAGAATCAAGGCAATGTCTTAATTGTAACAGCACTGTAAAATTAAAATTCAGGTTACACGCTTCCAACATATAATAGCACAGGATATACATTACCCTTCCCAAATGAAGAAATGGGATCATAGTGTGGAAATACTGAGCCAAAGGAAGACTGAAACCCAGAAGGAAAACATCAAACCCCATAATTTCATGTCTTATGTCTAGGACTTTAGTTCCAAAGGACTTAGTTGCATCTGCCTCTCTAACTTTGCTGCTTGCAACATACATCTCCCTCATGGATTGCTTCTACTCCCTGTATTCAGCTTTTCTTGACAGGCACCCCGTGACTCTAGCATCTCCAATGTCTTGGGGTCTCCACTGCAACCGAGACTTGACTTCAATAGCTTCATGCAATGGGATCACACAGACTCCTTCCCTTGAAGGGCCTTCATGCATGGGGTCCCCAGTCACACACGGTCTTGTCTTAGTGGCTCTCTCTGTCACTGTCACATCCTTCATGCTTCTACAGCTAGCGCCGTTAGATCGCGTTGTCAAGGTTTGCTGCTAGTTTGGAATGCTCCTTCCACACTTTGAATCACATTAGCGACAGATCTTTTATTCACTTGATTTTAGGAGCAGGAAACATGTTTTTTTTTTCCCCACAGTTTAGAAAATTAGCTAGGCAGGGTCTTGCCCTGAGTGTACCCTTCCTTTTATTCCAGTGTTGAGCATGGACCTTTGCCTTAAATGGTGTTAATCCCTTTGTCTCTTACAGCACAATCCTTTGCTGCAACATTAAGCCCCCTAGTGTTCTTTATTTCTTTTCAAACTGCACATTTTGTATTTCTTACAGCATCATTTGCTGTTTTTCATTATAAACCTACATAAGAGTTATTACTAATCACCATGACATAAATTCAATATTATGCTGCCTTGAAATTGCCTCTATAAAAAAAAAACCAACCAACCAAACAAACAAACAAACAAAACCGAGTCCATTAATTTTTAGTTTAGTCTTAGTCAAGTTCTTAGCAAAAGGGCAGAATGCAAACAGATTCTTTGCCAAAATAGACATACTGGCCTGCGGCCCAGTTCCTAATATTGTTGCCCTCTGAATCCTCTTCACCTGGACCTCCACAGTCCACATTTTCCTTAGCACTACTGTCTTCCAGGCCCATACTAGAAAGGCCCTCTAAGCTCTGCTCACAGCATGCAACCACTTTCTCATTACAAACTTCTAAAGCTTTCCACATTCCTCCACAAACTTGTCAGATTCTCAACATGTCCCGCGCTTTTCTGTGAAACCTCACTCTCCTGGTATAGGGTGCGCTTTCCATATTGGACCACAAGTCTGGATCACTATCCTAGGAGTTGAAAACAGACACACGACACACAGAGAGACCGGATCATTTGCCCAAAGGGTAAATGTCAATCTTTATTCAGCACATGTAGGCTTATATACTTGGAGGCAAGAGGACAAGAGCCCCCTCCCACCTGGGAGTGAGAAGAGGGGTGTTGGCTGCATGGTGCCAGTGGCCGGAGCCTCCATGTAGGGGGTATCGAGCTGGGAACCCTGACAGACAGATGGGAGGAGATTTAGGGCGCCTGTGAGGTCCTTCTTAGCAGGTGAAATTATCATAGCAATGACAGAAACAAGGCTTTGAACTAATTCCCTTGGCTGGCAGAATGAGCAGGGGAAGCCAAGCTGATTAGCGTAAACAATTCTTGCATCCTATGCTTTGGCCTCGAGGAACAGGGAAGATAGGGCCCTACATCGACAGCCACAGCCCACTCTCTGGTACCAGCTTTGGTACTAGTTCCTTTTTGGTGTAGTGATAAAATACAATGACCAAGGCAACTTAAGAGAAAGAGAGTTTAGTTTGGATCACAAACCAAAGGGACGAGTCTTTAATGGGAGGGAGGCATAGTAGCAAGGCATTGTGGCAGGAGCCGAAAGTTGAGCTTACATCTCTACTGCAAGCACAAAGCAGACAGAGTGAACTGGAAGTGGCAACGGGCTAATCTCAAAGTGCGTCTCTAGTGTTATACTTTCTCTAGTAAGGAGGCTGCATATCCTAAACCCCGCCAAACAGTGCCACCCAATGTGGACCAAGTGTTCAAATATCAGATATTTGATGTCTTCTATGGGAGACATTACCATTCCAAGTACTGCAGCCACATAGCAGGATTCTCTTTTAAGAAAATTTAAATAAGTATTTATTTATGTATAAAAAATAAATGCAGAGGGATAAATAAAAATGTGCCATTCCAACCTAGAATCCAAGCCTCCACTCCAACACTTCCACTCACATTTTATTCCTCAAAGCAAGTTATATGACCAATCACAAAATCAAGGGGCAGGACTGTAAACTCTCCGTAATATGAGCTTGGCAAATGGCTGCAAGCACGTGGACCTGAACAATTGAAACTGACGGTGCCAGCTAGAGCACCTTTCCTCTTGGATGACTCGTGCACCCACATTGGACAGATGACAATCTTGGTGACTAGTGGTAGGAAGAAGTAGAAGACAGATCCAGGTGATAGAACTGACTTGTTTGTAAGAGTGGCTTTTAAGGTTGATAACAGTCAAACTATTGACATTTAAGTGAATGAAGGGAGCCAGAAATAGTGACTCCTATCTGTAATCTCCATCTGTACTAGGAGACTAATGCAGGAGAAGTGTCAGTGCATTCCAGGAAAGCCTGAACTGCAGAGTGAAATCCTGCCGTAAAGAATCAAATTTTACAAGGCTGAAGACTCCAGCCAAATTCCTAGCATCTACGTGGTGGTTCATAACTATCACAGGGCGCCTAATGTTTTCTGACATGTATGTGGCACTCAGACATATATGCAGACAAAACACCAATACACAATAAATGGATTTTGAAAATCAAGTTGAAAATAGTCCCATGCCTATATTGTTTTGCAGACCCTTTTCCCCTTCGGTGGTCTTTTGCTTGCTTACTTCTTTTTAGAGATAGGATCTTCCATAGCCCAGGGTGGCCTCAAACTTACGGAGTTGCTAAGGATGACTTTGAACTCCTGATCCTCTTTCCTCTCCTGCAAAGTGTGGAAGTGCTAGGATTACAGATGTTCATCACCTATATAACCTCTGTTTTTATGTTTGAGACAGGTGTGATGTGTCCTAGGCTGGCTTCAAACTTGCTTGTAGCCACGGATGACCTTAAATTTCTAATCTTTCTGCCTGCCCCTCCCCGACGTTGAGTAATTTATGCCGCGCTAGAGTGCGTGCACATTATTGAAAAATTCTCTGCCAACTGAACTTGACTCCCTGTCCCATACCTTTTTTTTTTTTTTTCAAAAATGCTATATCCCTTGCCTCTTTAATTTCAATTCTATTTTGGAATAGTGCCTTCCTTAGCTGCCTCTGCTGGCCTTGAACTTGCTCTGTAAGCAAGGTGGACTTCAGGTGTGCCATTCTCCTGCCTCAGCCTTTTGAGTTGCTGTGCTTTCAAGTCTTCATTACCACACTTGGCTTATATGATTCATCTTCGTTGTTTAAGGAAGAGAATCAGGGTCGGGAAGTCATAAGCCTCTGTAAGTATGAAGTAACGGTAGGAGGAAGGAGCAGAAGCTGTAAACTCCAGAGGTTCACTCTGGCTGTCCCGGGACAGGCTCTTGATGCAAGTTAGTTGCTATCAGAGAAAGGGAAGTGGCTCCCTTCTGGTACTAGGAGAAGTAGGGGGAGGAGATAAGGCCCAGCACTTAGGGGAAGAAGTTGACACAAGCCCAACAGGAATGTGAACTCCATAAACTTCCTCATCTCTGAATTCAGAGTAAGCTCCTACTTATCTTTCTATCCTCACAACTTCCCCGTGTGTACTCTAACTGCTGCCAGTTAGAATGCTCTTCGTCCTCCAAAGACACCCTGCTCTTCCCTGTTCTTTGTGGTTGACTTTGATGGTCCCTTTATCTAAGATGCTGTCTTTCCATTTCTGCCTATCAAATTGTTTTTATTCTCCAAAGCCTGTCGCCAGTTCCTGCTCCACCCCACCGCCCCCCGTTTTGAGATGGTTTGTTTGTTTATTTGTTTGTGACAGAGTCTCATAAGTAGCTGGCATGAACTCTTTGTGTGGCTGAAGATGACCTTGAATTCCCGTCTGCCTTTGGGAGCATCCCTGTTCTTGGATTTCAGGTACGTGCCACCACACTCTGCTGTACATGGCTTTGATGAGTTCTGGAGGCTCACCTGGTGTTTACTATGTAGCTGAGGTTGTACTTAATCTTGTAATCGTCTTTTCTCTGTTCCCTGACTTTTGGGATGACAGGTGTTAGTACAGAAGGAAATTTGCAGTGATTTTCCTGCCTATGCCTCCTAAATGCTGGGGATTGCAGGAATGTACCAGCCACACCTAGCTATTGCCACTGCCCTTCTCCTCTTCCTCATTATTATTACTTATTACCAGTGCTTGTTTTAGCCATCTTTTCTCCACTTTCCCTCTCAGTAGTTATGTCTTGTGAATCCTATGCATTATCAGGACCAAATAAAATGAAAATTTGCTCGCACTGCTTCTGCTCTTGAAAGACTCCAATAGCTCTAAAGGGATTTGTATTGGGTGAATATGAATTCCAACATTTAGTCAAAACTAAGCAGAAGGAAGCATAGGTGGTACAGAGAACTCTACGAAGAGACTATTAACTATTTTTTAAAGATAGTCTCCTGTAGCCCAAACTAGCCAAAAACTCATTACGTAGCCAAGAGTGACCTTTCAAGCCCAGGCCACCAAGCTTGGCACCTCTGAACAGTCTTTCAAAGACAGAGTCCTGAGGACAAAGGGCACAGTCATTTCAGCAGAGCCAGCAACTCCTGCAGAGAGGGTGGGGCTTTAAAAACCGTACCAAAGACCCAATACATTAAATATTTGTGTTTAAAGCGTGGTACATTGAAAATCTACATGTATAAATTACACAAATGCTTTTCTGTTTATTGTATCTTCTGCCAACTTTTCATGATCCATTATTAACCTCAATCTATAAATGAGATAACCAAGCATCAGGGTTTAAATGACTATTCTAGAGAAAACCAAATTAAGAGTAGCAGAACAAAGGTGCCAAATGGGTTTTCTGATGCCAAAGAAGTGCTCTTTCCTCTACATTCTGCATCTCAACTCTGATTTTCTCTGATAGTAGAAAACTAAGCCAAAGGTTAAGCAGAGCTTCCAAGACAAAAGTTAGGGGGAAATGGGAAGACCTTCACAATTTTTGCTTTAAAGTACATTTTATTTTATCAAAAAACTATACAAAATCTTATGCTCCGTAGGTAGACTAGTGTCTTCATTCTTTTCTGTGACCTCTTATCTGTTTTCAGTGGTTGGCACTGCCAATCACATAGGTAATAAAAACGGAGGCGGGAAACAGGATGACTTCTCACCTACTTAAGTAGCTAACATGGAGGTGGTGCTGACAGCCAACAAAGATGTCATAACATGGAAAGTAAGCAGAAAGAGCTATCGTAGGGGAGGGAGTTGTGCAAAGCGCCCGACTGAAACCCTTTTGCTGTTTTCTGTTTTGTTTTGTACAGTCTCGCTCTCTAACTCGAGAGACCACAAATGCAGGACCCACCTGTCTGAATTTTGAGGGCTGGTATTAAAAATGCGTACCACCAAACCAGCATACTTGAATAACTTTCTATTTTCTATACCAGTGTCATTCCAGCGGGTGCCTTTAAAACACCAACCACCAAACAATAGATTCTAACACCGAACAGGTTGTTCCTTGTCAACAAGGTGAGACCCTCAAAAACAATGTAGGAGGAGGTAAAACAAAGGGCAACGGGGATAAATATGACCAAAATATATTGTACATCTTAAAGTTATTATTACTATTGCTATTGTTATTGTTATTATTATTGTTATTATTATTATTATTATTATTACTGAGACATGGCCTCAATACATAACCCCGACCTTCCTGGGAAATACAATTTAGACCAGGCATGCCTCTGACTCTTATGCTGGTGTTAAAGTCATGTGCCACCATGCCAGGCAAAGAAGTGTAACAAATAATAAGACTGTTATCTGCAAAAGTTTCCTTCTCCTTAGAGAATGGCACTGCCACCTTTAGTAAGAAGTGGAAATTGCAATGATCAAGGAACAATACTCTATTTTTTTTTATGTATCCTATTCTGATTAAATCTGGAATGATCGAATGTATTGAAGAAACACTGGTCATTTCTTCTTTACATTATGAGTCAGTTAAAAGTCAGGCGTGGTGGCTCACACCTATAATCTCTGCTCTTGGAAGGCTGAGGCGGGAATATTGCTGTGAGTTCACACACACACACACACACACACAACACAATACACACACACTAAGAAAAAACTCCAAAGCTTAAAGTGTTTAAGAGCAATTTGGGGCTGGGAATGTAGCAGAGTAGCGGAGCGCTAGCTTAGCATGTGAGAGACCTTGTGCTCAGGTGTGAGACAGGGATAGAGCGAGAGAGAGAGGGAGAGAGATAGAGATAGAAGTATGGGCGGAATGAAGATAGAGGTAGAGATGGGGGGGTGTGCAGCCTGTAACTCCAGCACTCGGAAGACAGAGGCTAGAGGGTTGGAGGATCACTGAGAATTAGGGTCTAGCCTGTACTACATGGCAAGACCCATTCTGAAAGAGGAGGAGAGACAGATGATGACTAGTTTAATAACATATGTGGCTATTTTATGTACATGTGCCCTTTGAAGCCTTGCAAAGTACACATGGCAGCCTGTCTTCATTTTAGGTTCAAACAATTTAAAATTTGCTATTACCACATTAGTATATGGTCAATAAATGGCCAAGCTGTCGATTTTCTGCTTTTTATGAGACCATGTGACCTTCTTGAATTTTTTTTTTTGGCATCAGCACCATTTATTAATTTTTTTTAACTTTTATTGCTTTATAAATAATACCATTCAAAATTTCCACTTCCTCCCCTTCTCCCATTTCCTTCTTGAATTTTTAATAGTCTTCAGGAAATTATAGTAAGAAGATGCCATGTGGCTTTCTTAAATTTTTAATAATCTTAAGAAAATTATAATAAGGAATAACAATATCAAAGTGAAAACCGAAATTCTTATGGTTCCATACATGATGCCTTGGTTTTTCTGTGGTGCATATCTAACTGAAAAGACACACATTAGAACATTCTAGCTAGTAGTCTGTCTCTAAAGTTTTATTTTATGTGTTTATTTTATTGATCTTAAAAAATGGTTTATTTATTTTGCCGAGTATGGTCCACAGGCCTTTAATGTGGACAAGCACTCAGGAAACAGAAGCAGATGGCCTATATAGGGAGGCCCTGTCTCAGAAAAATTAAGACATGCAAGTAAGGTTTTATTTCTATTCTTTAGGTCTTTCCCGCATGTATGTATGTGTGCCATGTGCATACCCAGTGCCAAAGAGTTGGAAGTGTCAGATCATGTGGCACTGGTGTCACCAAAGTCTGTGATGTACCATATGGGCCTTTACTAGAGCCGCAAGTGCCCTCAGCCCACCACCCAGCTTCTCGCTGCTCATTTTATTTATTGTTAATGTATTTATGTGTTTGACATGTGTGGCCATGACACCGTGGTACACATGTGGAGGTCAGAAGAGTCAGTTCTCTCCTTCCACCTTTGTGTGTATTCTGGGTGTTGGACTCAGGTTGTCAGGTTTATATCACAAGCAACTTAACTTGCTGAACCATCTCCCTGGCACAACAGTTCGGCTCCAAAGGTCTAAGCATTGTTTATGTGCTGAAAAGAATACATCTACAAACTAAAGCCCAGGTCCCTAAATCAGATGGCTTTTCAGTACCCAGGAATTACAAAAAGAATCCAGTGAGATGCCTCTGCAGGTACAGGTACTTAATGCAAAGCCTGAAGACCTAAGAGTGAACCCCAGAACCCACATAGTAGAAGATGATGAACTCTTTCAAGTTGCTCTGACTTCTACACACCCCCTGCGGCACAAACACAGACACACAGCAATAAATAAATGTAAAACCAAAAGAATTACAGAACGTATCTCCCTTATATTTTGCCATCTAAACCCTCATCCCTGAACCAGAGTAGACACCAGTCCTAGAGGATATGCAAATGTCAGATCTCTGTATATAGTGCTTGAAACAAATTTTATATCATCTCCAAGCTCCAAAACTCCATTTAATTTATTGTCCTTGCACAGAGGACATACAAGATATTAAACTTTAAAGAACAGATATTATATACTTTATGTTAGGCAAAAGGCAGAGAAGTGATTAATAGGTTTTTTAAACAATCGTTTCTCATTTTACATACCAATGCCAGTTCCCACACCCTCACCTCCTCCAACTCCCCCCACCTTCTTCCCACCTCAACCCCCATCCACTCCTCAGAAAGGGTGAGGTCTCCCCTGGGGAGGCAACAATGTCTGTCACATCAATTGAGGCAGGATCAAGGCCCTCTACCTCTGAATCTAGGCTGAGCAAGAAATCCCTCCAAAGAGAATGGGCTCCAAAAAGCCAGTTCAAGAACTAGGGATAAATCTTGGTCCCACTGCCAGTGGCCACACAGTCTGCCCAAGCACCAACTGTCACCCACATTCAGAGGGCCTAGTTTGGGCTTATGCAGGTTCCCCAGCTCTCAATCCAGAGTCAGTGAGCTCCCACTAGCTCAGGTCAGCTGTTTCTGTGGGTATCACCATCATGATCTTGACCCCTTTGGTCATATTATTGCACCTCCCTCTTTTTGACTGCACTTTGGGAGATCAGCCCAGTGTTTAGCTGTGGATCTCTGAATCTGCTTCCATCAGTTGCTAGAGGAAGGTTCTATGATGGCAATTTGGGTAGTCATCAATCTGAGTACAGGGAAAGGTCAGTTACACACCCTTTCCACTATGGCTTAGATTCTTAGCTGGAGTCATCCTTGTGGATTCCTGGGAATTTCCCTACTGCCAGATTTCTTGCTAACCCCATAATGGCCCCAATTCTCCTACCCCTCCCATTTTCTCCTCCCACTTCACTTCTGCCCTCCATTCCCCCCGTCAATGCTGCCTATTTCCCCTTCCCAGGGAGATTCATGTATGTCTTTCTTAGGGTTCTCCTTGTTCCCTAGCTTCTCTGGGATCATGGACAATAGCCTGATTATCCTTTGCTTTATGTCTAATATCCATTTATTAGTGAGTGCATACATGTTTTTCTTTCTGGGTCTGGGTTACCTCACTTAGAATGTTTTTTTTCTAGTTCTATTCATTTACCTGCAAATTTCAAGATGTCATTGTCTTTTACTGCTGAGTAGTACTCCGTTGTGTAAATGTACCACATTTTCTTTATCTTTTCTTCAGCTGAGGGGCATCTAAGTTGTTTCCAGGTTCTGGCTATTGTGAACAATGCTACTATAAACATAGTTGAACAAATGTCCTTGTGGTATAAATGTGCATCCTTTGGGTATATGCCCAAGAGTGGTATTGGTGGGTCCTGAGGTAGATGATACCCAATCTTTTGAGAATCCACCACACTGATTTCCAAAGAGGCTGTACAAGTTTGTACTTCCACCAGCAATGAAGGAGTGTATCCTTTACTCCACACCCTCTCCATCATAAGCTGTTATCGGCATTTTTGATCTTAGCCATTCTGATATGTGTAAGATAGTATCTCAGAATTGTTTTGATTTGCATTTCCTTGATTGCTAAGGATGTTGAGCAATTCCTTCTTAAGTTTCTTTCAGCCATTTGAGACTCTTCTGTTGAGAATTCTCTGTTTAGTTCTGTACTCTATTTTTTAATTGGATTATTTGGTATTTTGATATCTAGTTTCTTGAGTTCTTTGTGTATTTTGGATATCAGTCCTCTGTCTGATGTGGGGTTGGTAAAGATCTTTTCCCATTCTGTAGGATGCTATTTGTCTTTTTGACTGTGTTCTTTGCCTACAGAAGCTTCTCAGTTTCAAGAGGTCCCATTTATTAATTGTTTCTCTTTAGAAAGTGGTCTTTTATGCCCATGTGTTCTAGGCTACTTCCCACTATCTCTTCTATCAGGTTCAGTGTAGCTGAATTTATGTTGAGGTCTTTGATCCATTTGGGCTTGAGTTTTATGCGTGGTAGATATGGATCTATTTGCATTCTTCTACATGTCGCTATCCAGTTACGCCATAACCATTTGTTGAAGATGCTGTCTTCTTTCCATTGTATAATTTTAGATTCTTTGTCAAAAATCAGGTGTTCATAGGTGTGTAGGTTGATATCACAGACTTCAATTTGATTCACTTGGTCCACCTTTCTGTTTTTATGCCAATACCAAGCTGTTTCATTACTATATTTTATAGTAGAGCTTGAAGTCATGGATGGTGATGCCTCCAGGAGTTCTTTTATTGTACAGGATTGTTTTGGATTAATTTTTGTTTTCCATATGAAGCTGAATGTTGTTCTTTCGAGGTCTGTGAAGAATAGAATTGTCTTGAGATTTTTATGGGGATTGCATTGAATCTGTAGATTGCCTTTGGTAAGATTCCCATTCGTTTTTTGGGGGGAGGGGTGTCTTTTGGGACAGGGTTTCTCAGTAGCTATAGAGCCAATCTCTGAACTCACTCTGTAGAACAGATTGGCCTCGAACTCACAGAAATTCACCTGCCTTTGTCTCCTGAGTGCTAGGATTAAAGGTGTGCACCACTACCGCGCAGCAAGATTGCCATTTTTATTATGTTGCTCCTTCCAAGAGACCTTGGAAGGGAGACCTTTCTATTTTCTGATACCTTCTTTTATCTCTTTCTTCAAAGACTTAAAGTTCTTGTCATACAGGTCTTTCACTTGTTTGGTTAGAGTTACACCAACATACTTTATATTACTTGTGGCTATTGTGAAGGGTGATGTTTCTCTGATTTCTTTCTCAGTTCTTTTATCATTTGTATATAGGAGGGCTACTGTTTTTTATTTTTAGTTGATTTTGTATCCTGCCACATTACTGAAGGTGTTTATCAGCAGTAAGAGTTTCCTGGTAGAATTTTTGAGGTCACTTATGTATACTATCATATCTGCAAATAGTGAAAATTTGACTTCTTCCTTTCCAATTTGCATCCCCTTAATCTTCTTTTGTTGTCTTATTCCTTTGGCTAGAACATTGAATACTATATAGAATAGATATGGGGAGAGTGGACAGCCTTATCTTGTTCCTGATTTTAGTGGAATCATTTGAGTTTCTCTCCACTTAATTTGATGTTGACTGTCAGCTTGCTGTATATTGCTTTTACTGTGTTAGATACGTTCTTTGTATTCTGATCTCTTCAAGGCCTTTATCATAAAAGTGTGTTGGATATTGTCGAATGCATTTTCAGCATCTAATGAGATGATCATATGGTTTTTTTCTTTCAGTTTATTGATATGGTGGATTATACTGACAGATTTTCATATGTTGAATGACCCCTGCATCTCTGGGATGAAGTCAACTTGATCATGGTGGGTGCATTTTTGATGTGTTCTTGTATTTGGTTTGTAATATATTATTGAGTATTTTTGTGTCAATGTTCGTGAGGGAGATTGGTCTGTAACTCTTTTTCTTAGTTGAGTCTTTGTATGGTTTGGGTATCAGGGTAACTGTAGCCTCATAAAAAGTGTTTGGCAATATTCCCTCTGTTTTTATTGTGTGGAAAAATTTAAGAAGTATTGGTATTAGCTCTTTTTTGAAGTTCTCATTGAATTCTGTACAGAAAGCAATCTTTCCTGGGCTATTTTTTTTGTTTGTATGGGAGATTTTTGATGACAGCTTCTATTTCCTTAGGGGATATAAGTCTATTTTAATTGTTTATCTGTTCTTGATTTAATTTTGGTGTGTGGCACCTCTCTAAAAATTGTTAATTTCTTTTAGTTTTTACAATTTTGTGGAGTATAACTTTTTGAAGTATGACCTAATGATTCTCTGGATTTCCTCAGTGTCCATTGCTATTCCTCTTTTTATTTCTGATTTTGTTAATGTGGATGTTCTCTCTCTGCCTTTTGATTAGTTTGCATAAGGATTTGTCTATCTTATTGATTTTCTTAAAGAACCATCTCTTTGTTTCATTGAGTTTTTGTATTGTTTTCTTTGTTTCTATTTTATCAATTTCAGCCCTCAATTTGATTATTTCCTGTTGTCTACTCCTCCTTGGTGACTCTGCTTCTTTTTGTTCTAGAGCTTTCAAGTGCGCTGTTCACTGATGTGAGTTTTCTCCACTTTCTTTATGTAGGCACTTAGTGCTATGAATTTTCCTCTTAGCACTGCTTTCATAGTATTCCATAGGTTTGGATATGTTGTGTGTTCATTTTCGTTGAATTCTAGGAAGTCTTTAATATCTTTATTTATTTCTTCCATGACCCAGGAGTGATTCAGTTGAGCATTATTCACTTTCCATGAGTTTGTCGGCTTCTTGAATGACTGTTGTTGAATTCTAACTTTAAGCCATGGTGATCCATCTCCTTTGATTGACGTAAGTTTGAAGTCTATTTTGCTAAATATTAGGATAATTACACCCACTTGTTTCTTAGGTCCATTTGATTGAAAAATCTTTTCCCAACCTTTTACACTGAGGTCATGTCTGTCTTTGAGGTTGAGGTGTGTTTCTTTTTTTTTTTTTAATTTTTTTTATTATTAAATTATAAAAGTTTCCATTTCAGCCCCTCCTCCCACCACCCTCCCACTCCCCTCACTCCCTCTCTCCCTCTCCATCCCCCAGAGCAGTCAGGGTTTCCTGCCCTGTGGGAAGCCCGAGTTCCTCCCCCCTCCCTCCAGGTCCAGGGAAGGTGAGAGTCCAAACAGACTGGAGCGCCAAAATCCAGTACATGCAGAGGAAACAAGTCCCAGTGTCATTGTCAACGGCTTTTCAAAAAGGCTCCGGGCCAGCCACATTTAGAGAATCTGGCTGGATCATGTCCTCGTTCAGTCCCAGGCCAACAGGCCTTGGTGAACTCCCATTATATCAGTCCCCTTGTATCAGTGGGTGCTCGCATCCCTCGCAGTCCTGATTACTTTTTTTATTTTCTTCATCATTCTGTTCCTCATTTGGACTGTGGAGTGCTCAGTTCGGTGTTCCAATATGGGTCTCCATCTGTATCGCCATCCAACGTCGGATGAAGGTTTCCTGTGCCCTTGCCTTCATTGCTCACGATCTCTTTCCTTCTGCCTCTCATTTGGACCTAGGGAGCTAGGTCCAGTGTTCCAACGTGGTTCTCCGCCTCCATCTCCATCCATCGCCAGATGAGGGTTCTATGGTGACATGCAAAATATTCATCAGTATGGTTGTGGGCCAAGGCCGGTTCAGGCACCCTCTCCTCTGTCCAGAGAACAATCTGGGGATCTCTCCTTGGACCTGGGATCCCATATATAATCAAGTTTCCTATAAACCCTAAAATGACTCCCTTAGTTGAAATATATTCTTCCCTGATCCCTTATTCATCCTTCCTCCCTTCCCCCCATCCTGGTCAACCGAGCTTTCTCCATTCCTCCCCTACTCCCTTCTCTCTAACCCTCTCCCCTTCCAACAACCCTCCCACCCCCCCCATGCACCCAAGGTTACCTGGGACTCTTGACTATTTCCTACCTCCTGGCGGATAGCTAAATAATCTTCATCAGGATCGTCTTCTTATTTAGCTTCTCTAGGATCACGAAAAATAGGCTCAAATACCTTTAAATTATGGTTAGAATCCACTTATGAGTGAATACATACCGTGTTCCTCTCTTTGGGTCTGGCTTACCTCACTCAGTAAAGCGTTTTCTATGTCCATCCATTTGCATGCAAAAGTCAAGATGTCATTATTTTTTACCGCTGAGTAAAACTCTAACGTGTATATGTTCCACACCTTTTTTAACCATTCTTCTATTGAGGGGCACCTCGGCTGTTTCCAGGTTCTGGCTATTACAAATAGTGCTGCTATGAACATAGTTGAACAAATGCTTTTGTTGTATGCTAGGGAATCTCTAGGGTAAATTCCCAAGAGTGGAATTGCTGGGTCCTGAGGGAGGTTGACTCCCAGTTTCCTGAGAAACCGCCACACTGATTTCCACAGTGGCTGCACAAGTTTGCATTCCCACCAACAATGGATGAGAGTTCCCCTCACCCCACATCCTCTCCAGCATAGGCTATCATTGGTGTTTTTGACTTTAGCTATTCTGACAGGTGTAAGATGGTATCTCAAAGTGGTTTTGATTTGCATTTCCCTGATCGCTTAGGAGGTTGAGCATGACCTTAAGTGTCTTCTGGCCATTCGAAGTTCATCTGTTGTGAATTCTCTGTTCAGTTCAGTACCCCATTTTTTAATTGGGTTATTTAGAGATTTAGTGCCTAGTTTCTTGAGTTCTTTGTATATTTTGGAGATCAGACCTTTGTCTGATGAGGGGTTGGTGAAGATCTTCTCCCAGTCAGAAGGCAGCCTTTTTGTCTTACTGACAGTGTCCTTTGCTTTACAGAAGCTTCTCAGTTTCAGTAGATCCCATTTATTCATTGTTTCTCTTATTGTCTGTGCTGCTGGGGTCCTACTTAGGAAGAGGCCTCCTGTGCCTATATCTTGTAGACTACTTCCCACTTTCTCTTCTATCAGGTTCAAAGTGGACGGATTAATGTTGATGTCTTTAATCCATTTGGACCTGAGTTTTGTGCATGGTGATAGGTATGGATCTACTTTCATCCTTCTACAGGTTGACATCCAGTTATGCCAGCACCATTTGTTAAAGATGCTTTCCTTCTTCCATTGTATACCTTTAGCTCCCTTGTCAAAAATTAGGTGCTCATAGGTTTGTGGGTTAATATCCGGGTCTTCTATTCGATTCCATAGGTCGACTTCTCTGTTCTTATGCCAATACCAAGCTGTTTTCAATACTGTAGCTCTGTAATAGAGTTTGAAGTCAGGGATGGTAATGCCTCCTGAAGTTCCTTTATTGTATAAGATTGTTTTGGCTATCCTGGGTTTTTTATTTTTCCAAATAAACTTGATTATTGTTTTCTCAAGGTCTGTGAAGAAGTTTGATGGGATTTTGATGGGGATTGCATTGAATCTATAGATTGCTTTTGGTAGAATTGCCATTTTTACTATGTTGATCCTCCCAATCCAAGAACAAGGGAGATCTTTCCATTTTCTGGTATCCTCCTCAATTTCTTTCTTCAAAGACTTAAAGTTCTTATCAAATAGGTCTTTCACTTCCTTGGTTAGAGTAACCCCAAGATATTTTATGCTATTTGTGGCTATCGTGAAAGGTGATGTTTCTCTGATTTCCCTCTCAGCTTCTTTATCCTTCGTGTATAGGAGGGCCACTGATTTTTTGGAGTTGATCTTGTATCCTGCCACGTTACTAAAGGTGTTTATCAGCTGTAGGAGTTCTTTGGTAGAGTCTTTGGGGTCACTTATGTACACTATCATATCGTCAGCAAATAACGAAAGTTTAACTTCATCTTTTCCAATTCGAATCCCCTTGATCTCCTTATGTTGTCTTATTGCTATTGCTAGAACTTCAAGCACTATATTGAAGAGGTATGGAGAGAGTGGACAGCCTTGTCGTGTTCCTGATTTTAGTGGAAAGGCTTTGAGTTTCTCTCCATTCAATTTGATGTTAGCTGTCGGCTTGCTGTATATTTCTTTTATTATATTTAGGTATGATCCTTGTATCCCCAGTCTCTCCAACACCTTTATCATAAATGGGTGTTGAATTTTGTCAAATGCTTTTTCAGCATCCAATGAAATGATCATATGATTTTTTTCTTTCAGTTTATTTATATGATGGATTACATTGATAGATTTGCGTATATTGAACCAGCCCTGCATCTCTGGGATGAAGCCTACTTGATCATAATGGATAATTTTTCTAATGTGTTCCTGGATTCGGTTTGCCAGGATTTTATTGAGAATTTTCGCGTCGATGTTCATGAGTGAGATTGGCCTGTAATTCTCTTTCTTGGTTGTGTCTTTGTGTGGTTTTGGTATTAAGGTAACTGTAGCTTCATAAAAGGAGTTTGGCAATGACTCTTCTGTTTCTATATTATGGAATACATTAAGGAGTATAGGAATTAGCTCTTCCTGGAAATTCTGGTAGAATTCTGCATTGAAACCATCTGGTCCTGGACTTTTTTTGGTAGGGAGATTTCTGATAACAGCTTCTAGTTCTTCACGACTAACAGGTCTATTTAGATTATTCACCTGTTCTTGGTTCAACTTTGGTATATGGTACTTATCTAAAAAATGTCCATTTCTTTTACATTTTCCAACTTTGTGGCATATAAACTTTCGTAGTAAGATCTAATGATTCTCTGAATTTCCTCTGAATCTGTGGTTATATCCCCCTTTTCATTTCTGATCCTATTAATTTGCATGTGCTCTCTCTGCCGTTTGATAGTTTGGATAGGGGTTTGTCAATCTTGTTGATTTTCTCCAAGAACCAGCTTTTTGATT